TTTATTTTTAATTAGGTAGTGCAGGTGTTCAACATATTGCCTTAAGAACAAACGAGTAAGTTTATAATATATACTCTTATGATGTTTTCGACACAAAATTATTTTTTCTTATGCGTATTAATTATTTTTAATTTTTTCAGCATAGTTACCAGTGTGACGAATCTCAAATCCCGTGGCTTAGAATTCCTTACTATTCCCGCTACTTATTATGATGACCTTCGTTCACGCCTTTCTACATCTAATATTAAAATTCTCGAAGATATTGACCTTTTACAAAAATTACATATATTGATTGATTATGATGAAGAAGGTTATCTTCTTCAGGTACCATATATATATATATCATCAGTAGCGAAATAATGTTAAACTACGTTATTAACTAGGATAAATTATCCACTCAACTTTTCAGATATTTACAAAGCCATTACAAGATCGTCCTACTTTGTTCATTGAAGTAATTCAACGCCATAATCACCAAGGTTTTGGAGCTGGAAATTTCAAGGTACTTGTTATAATAATAAAATATTTACAAATTTTTTAATTTTATCTAATATCTGATCTTTTGTCGGTATAGGCACTATTTGAAGCCATTGAACGTGATCAGGATGCTCGTGGAAACTTGTAAAAGGACTTTTAACATTGACCTAGAGTTTATTTAATTTGAATGACTTGAGATGTGATTGGTCAATTTATGCTAAGTATTTAGCGCTTTGTTTAATGTTGAATTCAAAATAGTTTTTTTTTATAATAGTCACGCGATTAGTCACAACCATGAGGATACGATGTTTTCTTTAGATTGTCACTCTTAAATTTTCATAAGAATTTATGAAAAAAAGCTTTCTAACCACTATTAGGTGAAAAAAAGTTGTAATTTTGTTGGAAGAAGTAATTTGTCTACTTTTAGCATTGTAAAATTCGAACAATAATTGAAACAAAGTTGGAATGAATTTTGATTTCTAATTTTATGAATTTAGTCAATGTATATCTTATTTATCGATAATTTAATAAAATTGATGTATATGGTTCAGAATTGGGTATAGTATTATGTTTAATTTATTAACTCAGACTTGAAATATCAAATCCTTTAGATAATTTAGTTAAATAAAATATATCAATAGTAACACTACGAATTTTAGTTAAACTTTAGGGGAATTTACAAATAAGGCCTGGATAATTACAGATACGCCCAAATTAAAAATAAT